GGGATATGGATATTTTATGGAACAGCACGTATATACATGCAAACACCAACATAAAGTTCTGATACTGTAATGTAAGAGGTACATGAACATGTCGAGTCTTATGTGATTACCCTTCTGTCATCTAACAATGACCATTAAGGTAAAACATAAAATTATTGCTATGCAAAAGATACAAAGAACAGAATAACTTGGCTGTGTCGTATTGCACCAACAACTCCCATTATAGCCACAAGAAGAAGGAAAACACCACATGCTATCACTCCGCCGAGGATCGGTAAACTTGTAATTTTAGCTGACACTTTGGCATAAACAGCTACACATATCAATACCAAGGCTATGAACTGTAAAGAGAAAACAAAAATAATAATTAAAGAAACATTTTTTTGGAGACCTCTGGCTCCCTCCCTACTCAATTTCTAATTATGACTCAAAACAGGGTAGGTATGGATGTTTTTGGAAACACACATTATAATCACATAATTCAACTATTTCACATCCACGATTGAAGTACAGTGAATTAATCCATATATTTAAGAAGATAAGACACCTTATATTAAGAAGATACAATCCCAAACATTGTTCAACTTCATTCGGTAAAATGAACCCACCTCTCTGCTAAGCTGACCTTAGTGAGGGTCTCCCAGGGGTTTTGGGGAACAAGGGAACATGATCATTTATTCCAAGGGAACAAGGAATATTTTTGGGATTAATTTGAGGGAACAAGGGATATTTCTACAAACAATTTAGGGAACAATGGAATCGACTGATAGGGAAATAGGGAGAAAAAGTGAAATTTTCAAGGGATCAAGGGAACTTGCGACCTCCCCACCCCCCACCCCCCGGAAGACCCTTGCTAATGAGGGTAAATGCTTTTAAATGAAATTCTTCACTGTGTAAATTCTCCCTTATTCTTACTGATTGCTGAATATTTCAAAATTTGGGTCAAACAAGTGTTTGTTGCGGCACATTTACACAAAGAGTGTATATGACCTCAGTGACGATTTTCGTTCTACAGACGTAACCTTTTTTTAACAAAAGTGAACCATCTGAGGGAGGGGTATGGATGTTTTGTAGAACATTATTAGTTTCCCTGCATTCAGCCTTTTAACAATGTTTTTACACCAAATAAAACCAACACTGCAACCATTAGCCCTTGTCAGGAATATCAACACCCCATATATGCAAAAATACGATAGTCATCTAAAATCTTTAAAATTTCTCTCTAGTTCAAGATATTTAACTTCATTTACACTAAAAGATCTGGATGTTAATGTAAACAAAACACTTCGTTGAATATTTGCTCTGTTCGTTTTTTATTCTAGTTCCAGATTTGCAGTAAAATCTAGATCTAAGATAATTTATTTTAACAGAGAAAAGGGGAAAACTGTCGATAAAAATTGACTGAAATAACTACGACAGTTTTTTTTTCTAATTTCTCAGCAATAAAAATAAAATAAACCAGTAATTAAGCTGGCCTGTCTGGATACTAATTTTTTATTCACGAAACGTGGACTTGAGAGCTGCTCTTATTTCGATCTTAGAATTTACAAAAAAAAAAGCTCATCTACTGATTAAAATGAATTATACGGCCCTGAAACATTGGGCGTTAGAAGAACAACTCTTGAAATTCACCTTGCAAAAAGCTTGGTTAACCGATCGATAAGTCTTTATTTATTTAAGACGGCTAGCCTTTTGCTGCAAGGAACTGCAGGTTAATCAACGGCTATTTCCTTTCGTACACGAAGTTTCCCTTTGACTTGTTGCACGAACGATGACTTAAATCCTAATATTTTTGCCTCAAATCCCTAATCAGATCTTGAAACGTACTGGGATAACATCTCTGGGAGATTTCCACAGCCTTAAACTGCCACGTAAGCTTACAAAAGCCTTGGAAAACTCAATTTGCCAGTTCAAATCACCTCGCGTATAAAGTCGCTTCTTTGTCTCCCAAAATTAAAAGACTTATACGTGTACTTACAATATAGAGACTGTTGAGAGCCACCAGGACATTTTTTGAGCAGAAATAAGCACAACTCTGTGCTTTGGAGTATTTAGGGCTGTACATCTGGAAAATGCAAAGAATATCTGTCGTCGCCGATCTCGTCGCCTATTAAGTGGTTCTTTGGTTACATGCGAAAAAGACCACCAGCTTAACGATCACGTGACGAACAACATCGCAGCCAATGACGTCATGGCGAACATATATTTTTACGGGGAGGGGTGGGTGAGAACGCCAAAACGACTCTACCTGCCTCTGCAAGTTTTAATGACATAAATTTGATGTGAATTTATTATTTAAAAAATGCACTTAAATTTAAATGAAAACACAAATAATTACCGGTTAACTTTAATAGCAACTGACTGCGATAGTGATGGAGTTTCTGGCCCGGGTTGTTCGAAAGGTGGATAACGATATCCAGCATGGCTCCTGTATCCAGCTGATAAATCACTATCGCGGTTTGTTTTGTAAACACTTATCCACTGGATAGCGACTTATCCGGTGGATAGCGTTATCCAGCCTTTGAACAACCGGGACTGAAAAATGGTGAGTTTGGGATAAGGTAGGGATTTTTGATGCCTAGTCTACAGAAAAGATGGCCCAGATAAGGCTCTCAGAGTCCCTAGCTCCCTGCAGCATAAACCGGCCCACCGAATTAAGAGGCATTTAACTTCGCAAATCTAGTGGAGACATGAAGGGAATGGTTGGTTGTCATCTAATCGTAACTGGTATCTACCGGCACATTTTATGCCATTTCTTCATTAACCGAAACCGCCACAACTTCCAAACGAGTGGAAAGCGAACATCCACCTGCAATTTGGAAATAATATTACGTTTCTGCCGATTGACAAAACCGATCAAAGTGCCGGTTACATTCAAAAAGTTAAATTCAACTTCAACAAGACCAAGCAAGCTGCGAATGCCAGCTGTGTTTAACATAGCCGGCGACCAGGCTCACCTTTGAGTCACGCATGCGAGCTGTGAAGAGCAAAGCGATCCGGCGGGAAAGACTCTGGTGAAGAGGCGCCGAGAAAGTGAGCCTGTCTTGATCTCTGTAATTTTTTTATTTCTTCTTCGCCTGAGCGAAGTGAAATACCATTGGTCGAAAAGCGGGAAAGGCGAGAAAACTGTCAATCTATTATGTTTGATGAGGAGCGATTTAAATAGATCCTCATGGAGTCGATCATTTACCGCATGTTCTCACAAAAAATAAGTCGTTAACATTTGGAGTCAGAGGGAGAGTTGAGTGCGCGTATTACTGATATTTTAACAAATTTCCAGTCTATATCTGGGTAAATTTCAAACTAGCTAAAGAGGGAGCAGGAAATAGCACTTGTCGATCGTGTTGCCGACTGCATATAGAAAGAGCTCGATTTCGCTCTCGCAGCTACGCCGCGCGCGCCTGTGCTCCGTTCTTCAAGATAATTGTTCAAGAAAAATTCAAAACCCCTATACTTAGATATAACGATGAAATAAATACATCATGCAAATTTGTTCTGACAAAGGAAAATCGCAGTTGCACAAAACTTCGATCAAACTGAAATTAGTTTCCATTTCTACTCCCCTCTGGATGGGATGCAAGGCCATTGCAGGGATTAAGTTCGCCGGTACCCATTTATACACCTGTGTGGGGAGAGGCACTGCGAGAGCAAAGTGTCTTGAACAAATGCACAACACAATGTCCCTGACTAGGGTTCCGGGTTCGAACTTGGACCGCTCGATCCGGAGACGAGCGCATGAAACCATCGCGCCTCCCACACAATTAAAAAGACTTATTTCTCATTGAGTCAGGAAAAAAATGTCAACGTCCGTACCACCTGTACCGGCCGTGTGACAACGGAACATAAGAAAAAGTGTAAAGCTTTCGAAAGAGAAACGTTCCTCCTAAATTTTTGTTTCAAGCAAAACGAATGTATGCTGTAAATAGGATTATTGCATGTTTATCATTCATTACAAAAACTATTTATGTATTGAACTAAGCTATTTCGCGTCGAAAACAACATTAGTTTTAGTAATAAATAGTATCACATGTACAGGACAAATATAATCCAGTTATTTTGATCACTCTTTGGCTTCTCCTTACAAAAAGTGCATCGTGTTGAAAATTCCTTCAGTGGAACAACGCAAAAATAACGCCGAATACAACCTTAAGAAATACTGCCATGGTAATGTCAAAGCTAGCACCGCTGGACACTTCGAATTCGTCTACGGTATCAAACTTTACTTGTTATATGGTAATCAAAAGTAACTCGGGATAAATTAAACATGGTAAAGTTATTATTCCATCCCTCTTCGGCTTTTCAAAAAACGCATTGAAACTTCCCTCACTGGAACAGAGTAAACATAAAGACGAAAGCAACCTTGAGAAACATTGTCATGGTAATTTTATGGCTAGCACCGCTGGACACTTTGGTATCAAACTTTACTTGCGCCAGTTTAGGATAGTAATCATTCCAGAAAGCCATTCGGCGAGGAGCAAACACCGCCGCCATCTTGGGATGAACATCAACTCGCAAGTAAGCTCTGTGACTGCTGTTGTACCTCTCCCACGTAACACCGCTGACTGGTTGTGGTGTTGGATCGCCGTTCTTGGCGAAGTTTGAGTACATTCGTATGATAAACAGGCTGACATTTCTGTCGCCTGCGTCAAAATCTGACGAAAGACCAGGGTAGAAAGGGTGTCCAAAGTCGTAGGGCACGTTATCAGCATGGACCACACCCATCCACTCCTTGTTCTTATTTCCTATCGTTCTGCGATGTGCGAACTCGTACATGTACACAGGAGCGACTTTGCTATGAATATCAGCAACCTCGTGACTTGGTGCAAAGTAAATGTAATCACCGATGAGGTCCACAAGTTGGCTTCTCAGTGCGTATTTGTCGTTTTTGTCAGGCCATGGTGTGTACATAAACTGCAACGCCTCCGCGATTAGGTCGGCGTTGTCTTCTCTAAAAGGCGAAGAATTTGTTAACTTGTTAACTTGTTTGACAGAAATGAAACCTGCTTCTTTACCAAGGGAGAGAAGCGAATCAGGTATTCTGTCTGCTCTATCATTTAAGGTAGGTAAATAAGTCTTTATACGAGCCAAGTGCATCATCAGGCCGGAACCTATCCCAGTTTCAGTAGCATGAAGCGACAATAGGAGTATTTCTACTCCCCACTGGATTGTCCATCGCTGGGTTACATTCGCGCTACGTTCGCCGGTGCCCATATATACACCCGGGTGGAGAGGGGTACTGAGAGAGTAAAGTGTCTTGCCCAAGAATAAAACACAATGTCTCCGGCCAGGGCTCGAACCCGGACCGCGCAATCCGGAGGCGAGCGCACAAACCATGGGGCCATCACGTCTCCACGCTCTATCGTTTGGCCTAGCGGCTTATTTAACTGTTAAATCACTCAAGATAGAGAACACATCAACACCTATAGTCCATTCTAACAACGCGCGGATTGTTCTGAGCAGATGTAGAAGTTCTACTTATGATCACGGTTTTTTCTTACTTCAAAGCAAATTGCCACTCACCTGCTGTTGCGACCGTGGGCAAGCTTTGTTATAAATCCTTTAAAAAATGACGGACTCACTCCATCGTCCACACTTTCCGCCATCCCAAAAGACGAGTTCGCCATGAATCCAAGAGTTGTCCCTCCCTCCTGACTGTTGAAACTGATCATCAACTTCACTTTCTTAAAATCTCCTTTATTTCGTAAATTCTGAGGCGTATCGAGAAGAAAATTCTTGTCTACCACTGGCGCCCAGCGCAAATATTCATAGAACTGATAAGTTATCGAGTTGGAAGCATTCTGTATTTCCTCGCCTTTCTTACTGCGTATACAGGCAACCATTGCGCTGTGGTCGCTTGTAGTACAATCCAAGTTTTGAGCAAGCTCTTTAGCAAAACGGAGTCCAAAGGAAACCGGCTGAATTGCAAAGGGGCTCAAATCCACACCACTCTCTGCAATGGCTTGTTGAAAGAGACCCTTAGATAGAGGCGACAGCAGATGCAGGGTTACACTTGTCGCGCCAGCACTTGCTCCAAATATGGTCACCTTGCTGGGATCTCCTCCAAAATGTTCAATGTTCTCTTTGACCCACTTCAGAGCCTCCACTTGATCCAACATTCCAAAATTCCCAGGGGCCGAAGAATCCCCGGTCGTCAAGAAGCCAAAGGGACCGAGACGATACTGGATCACAACTATCACCACTCCGTGTAGGGCTAAAATATCGCTAGGAAATAAGGCGGCAGTTCCGAGCTCGTAAGATCCACCATGAATGTAAACCATCACAGGTAAACTCGCACTAACATTCGGAGAGTAGACATCAAGGTACAAACAATCCTCGTTGAACGAGAAATTTGGATTGAAGTATTTTATCATCTGCACTTTGTACTTTCCTTGCCAACAAACGTGCCCGTGTTCCTTTGCTTGGAGAACTTTCGGTTTCCACTCTTGTGGTGCTTCTGGCGCTTTTAGTCTGAGCTCTCCAACCGGCGGAGCGGCGAAAGGAACGCCAAGAAATTTACTGATAGACTTGAACGGACCCGAGGCATTCGGGTACGAAGTCACAAGACCTTCGACATCACCGTACACTGTAGACACTGTTACTGACGTTACCAGAGGCAAGTAGACATAGAATGCAAAGATCCTGACGAGTGCCGTGGAAATCATGGCGTTCTAGTCAACAAGAATCGTTTTCCTTTGTTTAGGTATCGGCTAATCTTTGCAGGCATCAACTAGTTCTTTCGACCCGTTTCGCACAGAATGCAGGATGACGGTAGACGACTGATGAAACTGTCTATACGCAGGCTTATCATTAGCGAAGATCAAACTATGGCGTTCCTAATCGCCCTCTAATACTTATGTCAGTGCCGTGTAAGTGTGCAATTTTACTCTCGGTAACTCGAACCCTCGATAACTCGAGCCTCTCGCTAACTCACACTTACAACCCTTGCTTACACGTGTTTCATTCCTTAGCCTGTTCCACCCCACTGACCGAGAGCCTGGAACAGGCTATTCATTCCTTCAGGTCATGGGCAGTGGCTACATCATTACACAAAATTACTCGTCCTGAGGGAGACAGTTTTGTATTCACGTGAAACTCGATGTTTTCATCGAGGGAAACCTCGTCTCAGTTTATTTATTGCCATCTACTGATAACTCGAACTCCCAATAACCCAGTGTTATGNTGAAATTTTCAAGGGATCAAGGGAACTTGCGACCTCCCCACCCCCCACCCCCCGGAAGACCCTTGCTAATGAGGGAAAATGCTTTTAAATGAAATTCTTCACTGTATAAATTCTCCCTTATTCTTACTGATTGCTGAATATTTCAAAATTTGGGTCAAACAAGTGTTTGTTGCGGCACATTTACACAAAGAGTGTATATGACCTCAGTGACGATTTTCGTTCTACAGACGTAACCTTTTTTTAACAAAAGTGAACCATCTGAGGGAGGGGTATGGATGTTTTGTAGAACATTATTAGTTTCCCTGCATTCAGCCTTTTAACAATGTTTTTACACCAAATAAAACCAACACTGCAACCATTAGCCCTTGTCAGGAATATCAACACCCCATATATGCAAAAATACGATAGTCATCTAAAATCTTTAAAATTTCTCTCTAGTTCAAGATATTTAACTTCATTTACACTAAAAGATCTGGATGTTAATGTAAACAAAACACTTCGTTGAATATTTGCTCTGTTCGTTTTTTATTCTAGTTCCAGATTTGCAGTAAAATCTAGATCTAAGATAATTTATTTTAACAGAGAAAAGGGGAAAACTGTCGATAAAAATTGACTGAAATAACTACGACAGTTTTTTTTTCTAATTTCTCAGCAATAAAAATAAAATAAACCAGTAATTAAGCTGGCCTGTCTGGATACTAATTTTTTATTCACGAAACGTGGACTTGAGAGCTGCTCTTATTTCGATCTTAGAATTTACAAAAAAAAAAGCTCATCTACTGATTAAAATGAATTATACGGCCCTGAAACATTGGGCGTTCGAAGAACAACTCTTGAAATTCACCTTGCAAAAAGCTTGGTTAACCGATCGATAAGTCTTTATTTATTTAAGACGGCTAGCCTTTTGCTGCAAGGAACTGCAGGTTAATCAACGGCTATTTCCTTTCGTACACGAAGTTTCCCTTTGACTTGTTGCACGAACGATGACTTAAATCCTAATATTTTTGCCTCAAATCCCTAATCAGATCTTGAAACGTACTGGGATAACATCTCTGGGAGATTTCCACAGCCTTAAACTGCCACGTAAGCTTACAAAAGCCTTGGAAAACTCAATTTGCCAGTTCAAATCACCTCGCGTATAAAGTCGCTTCTTTGTCTCCCAAAATTAAAAGACTTATACGTGTACTTACAATATAGAGACTGTTGAGAGCCACCAGGACATTTTTTGAGCAGAAATAAGCACAACTCTGTGCTTTGGAGTATTTAGGGCTGTACATCTGGAAAATGCAAAGAATATCTGTCGTCGCCGATCTCGTCGCCTATTAAGTGGTTCTTTGGTTACATGCGAAAAAGACCACCAGCTTAACGATCACGTGACGAACAACATCGCAGCCAATGACGTCATGGCGAACATATATTTTTACGGGGAGGGGTGGGTGAGAACGCCAAAACGACTCTACCTGCCTCTGCAAGTTTTAATGACATAAATTTGATGTGAATTTATTATTTAAAAAATGCACTTAAATTTAAATGAAAACACAAATAATTACCGGTTAACTTTAATAGCAACTGACTGCGATAGTGATGGAGTTTCTGGCCCGGGTTGTTCGAAAGGTGGATAACGATATCCAGCATGGCTCCTGTATCCAGCTGATAAATCACTATCGCGGTTTGTTTTGTAAACACTTATCCACTGGATAGCGACTTATCCGGTGGATAGCGTTATCCAGCCTTTGAACAACCGGGACTGAAAAATGGTGAGTTTGGGATAAGGTAGGGATTTTTGATGCCTAGTCTACAGAAAAGATGGCCCAGATAAGGCTCTCAGAGTCCCTAGCTCCCTGCAGCATAAACCGGCCCACCGAATTAAGAGGCATTTAACTTCGCAAATCTAGTGGAGACATGAAGGGAATGGTTGGTTGTCATCTAATCGTAACTGGTATCTACCGGCACATTTTATGCCATTTCTTCATTAACCGAAACCGCCACAACTTCCAAACGAGTGGAAAGCGAACATCCACCTGCAATTTGGAAATAATATTACGTTTCTGCCGATTGACAAAACCGATCAAAGTGCCGGTTACATTCAAAAAGTTAAATTCAACTTCAACAAGACCAAGCAAGCTGCGAATGCCAGCTGTGTTTAACATAGCCGGCGACCAGGCTCACCTTTGAGTCACGCATGCGAGCTGTGAAGAGCAAAGCGATCCGGCGGGAAAGACTCTGGTGAAGAGGCGCCGAGAAAGTGAGCCTGTCTTGATCTCTGTAATTTTTTTATTTCTTCTTCGCCTGAGCGAAGTGAAATACCATTGGTCGAAAAGCGGGAAAGGCGAGAAAACTGTCAATCTATTATGTTTGATGAGGAGCGATTTAAATAGATCCTCATGGAGTCGATCATTTACCGCATGTTCTCACAAAAAATAAGTCGTTAACATTTGGAGTCAGAGGGAGAGTTGAGTGCGCGTATTACTGATATTTTAACAAATTTCCAGTCTATATCTGGGTAAATTTCAAACTAGCTAAAGAGGGAGCAGGAAATAGCACTTGTCGATCGTGTTGCCGACTGCATATAGAAAGAGCTCGATTTCGCTCTCGCAGCTACGCCGCGCGCGCCTGTGCTCCGTTCTTCAAGATAATTGTTCAAGAAAAATTCAAAACCCCTATACTTAGATATAACGATGAAATAAATACATCATGCAAATTTGTTCTGACAAAGGAAAATCGCAGTTGCACAAAACTTCGATCAAACTGAAATTAGTTTCCATTTCTACTCCCCTCTGGATGGGATGCAAGGCCATTGCAGGGATTAAGTTCGCCGGTACCCATTTATACACCTGTGTGGGGAGAGGCACTGCGAGAGCAAAGTGTCTTGAACAAATGCACAACACAATGTCCCTGACTAGGGTTCCGGGTTCGAACTTGGACCGCTCGATCCGGAGACGAGCGCATGAAACCATCGCGCCTCCCACACAATTAAAAAGACTTATTTCTCATTGAGTCAGGAAAAAAATGTCAACGTCCGTACCACCTGTACCGGCCGTGTGACAACGGAACATAAGAAAAAGTGTAAAGCTTTCGAAAGAGAAACGTTCCTCCTAAATTTTTGTTTCAAGCAAAACGAATGTATGCTGTAAATAGGATTATTGCATGTTTATCATTCATTACAAAAACTATTTATGTATTGAACTAAGCTATTTCGCGTCGAAAACAACATTAGTTTTAGTAATAAATAGTATCACATGTACAGGACAAATATAATCCAGTTATTTTGATCACTCTTTGGCTTCTCCTTACAAAAAGTGCATCGTGTTGAAAATTCCTTCAGTGGAACAACGCAAAAATAACGCCGAATACAACCTTAAGAAATACTGCCATGGTAATGTCAAAGCTAGCACCGCTGGACACTTCGAATTCGTCTACGGTATCAAACTTTACTTGTTATATGGTAATCAAAAGTAACTCGGGATAAATTAAACATGGTAAAGTTATTATTCCATCCCTCTTCGGCTTTTCAAAAAACGCATTGAAACTTCCCTCACTGGAACAGAGTAAACATAAAGACGAAAGCAACCTTGAGAAACATTGTCATGGTAATTTTATGGCTAGCACCGCTGGACACTTTGGTATCAAACTTTACTTGTGCCAGTTTAGGATAGTAATCATTCCAGAAAGCCATTCGGCGAGGAGCAAACACCGCCGACATCTTGGGATGAGCGTCAACTCGCAAGTAAGCTCTGTGACTGCTGTTGTACTTCTCCCACGTAACACCGCTGACTGGCTGGGATGTTGGATCGCCGTTCTTAGCGAAGTTTGTGTACATTCTCATGATAAACAAACTGACGTTTCTATCGCCTGCATCAAAACCTAAGGAAATCACAGGGAAAAAAGGGTGTCCAAAGTCGTAGGGCACGTTATCAGCATGGACCACACCCATCCACTCCTTGTTCTTATTTCCTATCGTTCTGCGATGTGCGAACTCGTACATGTACACAGGAGCGACTTTGCTGTGAATATCAGCAACCTCGTGACTTGGTGCAAAGTAAATGTAATCACCGATGAGGTCCACAAGTTGGCTTCTCAGTGCGTATTTGTCGTTTTTGTCAGGCCATGGTGTGTACATAAACTGCAACGCCTCCGCGATTAGGTCGGCGTTGTCTTCTCTAAAAGGCGAAGAATTTGTTAACTTGTTAACTTGTTTGACAGAAATGAAACCTGCTTCTTTACCAAGGGAGAGAAGCGAATCAGGTATTCTGTCTGCTCTATCATTTAAGGTAGGTAAATAAGTCTTTATACGAGCCAAGTGCATCATCAGGCCGGAACCTATCCCAGTTTCAGTAGCATGAAGCGACAATAGGAGTATTTCTACTCCCCACTGGATTGTCCATCGCTGGGTTACATTCGCGCTACGTTCGCCGGTGCCCATATATACACCCGGGTGGAGAGGGGTACTGAGAGAGTAAAGTGTCTTGCCCAAGAATAAAACACAATGTCTCCGGCCAGGGCTCGAACCCGGACCGCGCAATCCGGAGGCGAGCGCACAAACCATGGGGCCATCACGTCTCCACGCTCTATCGTTTGGCCTAGCGGCTTATTTAACTGTTAAATCACTCAAGATAGAGAACACATCAACACCTATAGTCCATTCTAACAACGCGCGGATTGTTCTGAGCAGATGTAGAAGTTCTACTTATGATCACGGTTTTTTCTTACTTCAAAGCAAATTGCCACTCACCTGCTGTTGCGACCGTGGGCAAGCTTTGTTATAAATCCTTTAAAAAATGACGGACTCACTCCATCGTCCACACTTTCCGCCATCCCAAAAGACGAGTTCGCCATGAATCCAAGAGTTGTCCCTCCCTCCTGACTGTTAAAACTGATCATCAACTTCACTTTCTTAAAATCTCCTTTATTTCGTAAATTCTGAGGCGTATCGAGAAGAAAATTCTTGTCTACCACTGGCGCCCAGCGCAAATATTCATAGAACTGATAAGTTATCGAGTTGGAAGCATTCTGTATTTCCTCGCCTTTCTTACTGCGTATACAGGCAACCATTGCGCTGTGGTCGCTTGTAGTACAATCCAAGTTTTGAGCAAGCTCTTTAGCAAAACGGAGTCCAAAGGAAACCGGCTGAATTGCAAAGGGGCTCAAATCCACACCACTCTCTGCAATGGCTTGTTGAAAGAGACCCTTAGATAGAGGCGACAACAGATGCAGGGTTACACTTGTCGCGCCAGCACTTGCTCCAAATATGGTCACCTTGTTGGGATCTCCTCCAAAATATTCAATGTTCTCTTTGACCCACTTCAGAGCCTCCACTTGATCCAACATTCCAAAATTCCCAGGGGCCGCAGAATCCCCGGTCGTCAAGAAGCCAAAGGGACCGAGACGATACTGGATCACAACTATCACCACCCCGTGTAGGGCTAAAATGTCGCCGGGAAATAAGACAGCAGTTCCGAGCTCGTAAGATCCACCATGAATGTAAACCATCACAGGTAAACTCGCACTAACATTCGGAGAGTAGATATCGAGATACAAACAATCCTCGCTGAACGAGAAATTTGGCTCGAAGTACGTTATCAAATACTCAAAGCGTTTATCTTGCCAACAAACGTTCCCATGCTTCTTCGCCGGGCGGACGTTCGTTTTCCACTCTTGTGGCGGTTCTGGCGCTTTTAGTCTGAGCTCTCCAACCGGCGGAGCGGCGAAAGGAACGCCAAGAAATTTGCTGACAGACTTGAACGGACCTGAGGCACTCGGGTACGGAACTACAAGACCTTCGAACTCGCCGTACTTTGTGGACACTATTATTGACGTGACCAGAGGCAAAAATGCACAGAATGCAAAGACCCTTATTTGAAGGGTCGAAATCATGGTTCTCCAGTCCAGTGGAATACTTCAGTCCTCAGTTTTGTTTGACAAGCGCAGATTTTGCGCCCAAAAATGTTGCTGCAGCTACTAATGCCAGAGGAAACAAAATATATCATCGCCTTTGTGTTTGTCATTTGAGAAGTTGATCACGAGACACAATTTAATTGATGATTTGACTATATCAGATTACGGTTTAACAACTCCTTTGCTCGTCAAGCTAAAACTTTGCAGTACACAGTTTGCGAGGCAAAGGGTTTTTTAATATTTTGCCTTTCTAATGATTCTTCGTTTACGGTTCATGTTGCGCACAAGTTTCTCTCCCCGTGACGCGCCCTTTCGGGGGAGAATCTCAGGTGAAAAGTTCGGGAATGCTCGTCGTCTCGCGTAAAGGTACAAATCAAGGATTCTGGTCTCACTTAGGGTTTTCATGACGAAACACTATTTTTAGGGTTAACACGAAGAAAAAACAATAAAAAAGACAATCTTATTTCCGTTCTTAGACCCGATCCAGTCCAGTGGTAAGTGGGTCTACTGGGGTCCACTACCGCGGGCTCCTTTCCTGAACAGCGGAAGCCTACTCCGACGGGCATCCCCGATACCGGGGGAGGACTTCCGTATAAAAAGACGGGGCCGGGGGTGTTAGTCATAACATTAGGGGTTATGGTGGAATAGTACACTAAAATGGACCAAAAAGTTTGTTTAAGTATGTTAAAGAAAGATCAATTGCGTGGGATTGCACTCACGAAGAGAAAATAAATTTTGAAGGTTGAAAATGGCTGCTATGGCAACCAGTCACAGCCTTTTGAGGTTTTCTTTTATTGCATTGACCCCAACAGTTCCTGCTCTTCTACAAAACAAGATTTGATTTTCAAACGAGCATATCTTGGAAGTTTCTGTTTCATGCTCTGCAATAAACCAAGGTTTTGACAGTTAACTCTCGTTTTCAGTGCTTTCTACAGGCCTTATTAATTTGGAAATAACCTTATTTTGCACCAAACTCAGTGAACATATTATCTATTGTCACGTGACAGACGTTAAAATGTTATGATTTTTTTAGTTTATTACATCAGGACACTATTGGTCTTTGATTACCCCAAGTTTCAAGGATTTCTCTTATATTAAATACCTTCCAAAGTTTAATAAACTTCGAGATTGTATTTGAAATAATTTCCGTTTAATTTGAAATTTGTCCCTATTTACAGCATAAAACTTCGTAAAAAACGCGATCTCGTGTTCTCGTCTTCGCTTCGCAAAAGGACTGATCAAAGCCTAATTTACAATTGATTATATTCATATGGTATCACGTGCTATATCAAGCTGTGTCGTATCTTTACAAACAAAACAAGTTCTTACGCAATAAAAGAGTTCGTGAATGTTCTTTACACAAAGTAGAAATGTTGGCGTGAAGTTAGTTGGTACAAAAGTAGACCTTTGAGAAAAATGCATCTTAAGTTTCTTACACGATGGATTAAGCATTTTAACAAGCCAAACATTCTGGGGGGGTGGTGCAGATTGGATCTTGGGGGGGGGGCGTAATGGTCATTCTATTTTGTAAAAAGTTACCGCCGTTGTAGGGAATGTTCCTTTTGATAAATGAATGAGCCTGTAATGGTAAATCAGACAAAGCTTTTACCAAGTAATTGTACCAATCGAGTTGTGCATCTCTTTACAGCTTTACTATAACTTATCGTTCATATATGTTAAAACTTATCTATATTTTTGGTCATGTTCTTCCCGTAAACAGCCGTTGCTATGGCCGTTACTACATAAAAAAAAACTTATACCACTGTGTAGTTTCCTTAAATTTCACACTTACCTAGAGACTAATTCGGCAAGATCGTTTCAAATTGTTTTTAACAAGTGTTCAAGGGTCGTAAATCTTGTATTTTTTAAAACGTGGAATTTTCCATGAACATCGCCATATTTTTTGGTATGTGCCACCTTAAAAGAGCAGTTCCGGTACTTCATTTGGTGTTTAGTCTCAAAAGGTCCACAGTGGGAGTTTTTGCGGTACCTTTCAGAGTATTGAGCTGAAAAACATGTGACAGGAGATGATGTACATGTGTTGTTTTAGAATTGCTACCTCTTCGGTAGTGGTGAAAAAAAATTTCAAGCCACGCCCATAAAACAGGATCTTGGTAGGTCCAAAAGATTATCAAGGTAAAAGAGTGAATCCCCCATATATATATAGGTCCTGTAACTAAGGTAATCCCTCTTAAGTTATTTTTAGACATGATACCCAGTCTTCTTCTTTGAGGGTTATGACCTGGGCTGTGCCTGCACTCCCTTCGCACAGCGGATTTATATAGTGAACGTTGGAACCTCTGCGAGGGCGAAAAGGGGAACGTAACATTTAACAATTATTGGACGAGGTTGAGCAAAGCATCGTGATTTGCCAGTGGCGAGCAGATCAACTGTTTGCCGAAGCCAAAGACGGAAACAGCTTTTTTCATTAAATGATACTGACGACTTTAAAAAATACAGTTGACTGACGATAACTCGAACGTCTAAGGGAAATCAGGAAAGGACTGAGTGTCACGAACAGTCACGCTTAACAATTGTTATGTAACATTTAGTCACGAAGTTTTGGTTTTGTTTGTACAGATCGTACTTGATGTCAACTTGATTTTCCGGTTTTTATATTGTGATCAAATTACTTATATATTTTACGACACGTGTCATTTTTTTGGCTCGGACATGTTTTCGATAGATCAATAAACGAATTCAAATTTACGACTGTAGTTACGAGTTCATAACACTGGGTTATTGGGAGTTCGAGTTATCAGTAGATGGCAATAAATAAACTGAGACGAGGTTTCCCTCGATGAAAACATCGAGTTTCACGTGAATACAAAACTGTCTCCCTCAGGACGAGTAATTTTGTGTAATGATGTAGCCACTGCCCATGACCTGAAGGAATGAATAGCCTGTTCCAGGCTCTCGGTCAGTGGGGTGGAACAGGCTAAGGAATGAAACACGTGTAAGCAAGGGTTGTAAGTGTGAGTTAGCGAGAGGCTCGAGTTATCGAGGGTTCGAGTTACCGAGAGTAAAATTGCACACTTACACGGCACTGACATAAGTATTAGAGGGCGATTAGGAACGCCATAGTTTGATCTTCGCTAATGATAAGCCTGCGTATAGACAGTTTCATCAGTCGTCTACCGTCATCCTGCATTCTGTGCGAAACGGGTCGAAAGAACTAGTTGATGCCTGCAAAGATTAGCCGATACCTAAACAAAGGAAAACGATTCTTGTTGACTAGAACGCCATGATTTCCACGGCACTCGTCAGGATCTTTGCATTCTATGTCTACTTGCCTCTGGTAACGTCAGTAACAGTGTCTACAGTGTACGGTGATGTCGAAGGTCTTGTGACTTCGTACCCGAATGCCTCGGGTCCGTTCAAGTCTATCAGTAAATTTCTTGGCGTTCCTTTCGCCGCTCCGCCGGTTGGAGAGCTCAGACTAAAAGCGCCAGAAGCACCACAAGAGTGGAAACCGAAAGTTCTCCAAGCAAAGGAACACGGGCACGTTTGTTGGCAAGGAAAGTACAAAGTGCAGATGATAAAATACTTCAATCCAAATTTCTCGTTCAACGAGGATTGTTTGTACCTTGATGTCTACTCTCCGAATGTTAGTGCGAGTTTACCTGTGATGGTTTACATTCATGGTGGATCTTACGAGCTCGG